CTCTTTAAAACACCCAGTTACTCCAGGTCACACTACTAATGCCTTTACCTCTTTGCAGATCATCTTCTGTGTTCTGCACATATAAGATTAACTTTCTGGACCCGGCTGGATGACTCAGTGGCTAAAAGCTCGCTTTGCATGTGCCAGGATCCCATATGGGTGCCAGTTTTGTGTCCCAGCTGTTCCACTTCCCATCCAGCTCCCTGCCTATGACCTGGAGTAGCAGTAGAGGATGGCCCAAAGTCCTGGGATGCTACACCTGTGTGGGGGACCAGAAGACGATTCCTGGCTTTAGATCAGCTCAGCTCTGGCCATTACAGCCACTTGGGAAATGAACCAGCAAATAGAAGATCTTTCTCTCTGTAAATCTGCCTTTCCAATGCAAACAAATCAGTTGGGAAAAAAAAAAATTTAACTTTCCCTTCCGTGAAAGTCTTGTCTTAGTCATAGTCAACTCCCGGACACCTCATAGTTGAATCGTTCCTGTGGGTGTCTGTTTTTTTTCCCCTAGTTGATCTTGGTTGGTATAGAGCAGTGCTGCTGCTGTCTGCAAGCTGACCATTTATTCTACAACCTTGCCAACCTATGGCCACTCTAACCATGCTTTGGATTTTCTGTGACTGTGATCTTGACTGGTTGCAAATCATGTCAGTGTGGGCTCTATCCTTGCAGTTATTACACCAGCTACTTTTTTCTTAAGTTGTATTTACTTATTTGAGAGATAAAGAAACACAGAATGCCCACGATGACTCCAGGCTAGGTTGGGGGTCAAGTCCAAGAGCCCCCAAGTCAATCCAGGTCTCCCCATGTATGACAAAAACTCAACCCACTTCAGCTCACCCCTGCCTCCCACGGTCTGCATTAGCAGGTAGCAATCAGGAACTTGGGCCAGTATGGAGCCCAGCACTCTGATAGGGCTCACAGGTAACTCAACTCAAGTACTAGGCCAGACACCCGCCCCTGCAGCTGCCACCTCTCTGCCACTGGGCAGGCCCTTAGTTCCTGTGACATTGGACATCCTTATGCAATTCTGATTTTACAGCAACTATACTTAAATGTTATCCATTATCTTTGCCAGTTTTAGGGTGCAACTTTGATCAAACTTGGGGAATTTTCTTCTAAAAGTATTCTTATTTGTCTTAGTGATAAATAGGTGTAGGCCTTTATCAAACCCATGGTAGAATACCTAGACATGTGCCAGAGGACTGGCCGACAACCCAGCTGTTCCCAGAGACAACACTGTTGCATCATGTCACAGCACAACAGGGACCTAGGAACCCCATTTCTGCTCCCAGAAACTTCACAGTGGAGTCACCTGACCCTTCAGAACCTCAGTTGCCAACTGGTTTGTGGGATGACAAGTTTGAGTTGAATAACCTAAGATCTTTCTAATTTTAACACCAACAACACATTGTTCTCAGTTCCTCTCCTAGAAAGGATGCCTCCAAATACAACTGCTGTTTTTAACACTTTCCGTAGTTAAATGTTGCTTTTCTTGTTCTCAGTTTGAACAAAAACAGTCCTGCCTTGATGTAGCCTGTGATTCTCCAGGTTGAACAGGAGCATGCTCAGTAGCACATGCCCACACGCAGCAGCGCTGCCAGCACACGGATGAAGACAGCTCGCAACCTGCTTTCCAGATCCTGTTTATCCTCAGCTCCAGGCCTGGCAAGCAAACCACCCAGTGTTATCTTTCATCCCACACTCGGGACGATAGCATCGCCAAAGCCACAGCCCTACAGACTTGCTCCTCAGGCTGGGCTGTCTTTGGACTGCACAGTGGTACAGCCTGGAAACCTGCCTGGCACGTCACCTCCTCCCCAGGCCCTTCCCTTCCCCTCCAAGGCTGTCTTCCAGATCATCTCTGCTGTGGCTCGCCTTTCCCTGGCAGATGCTGTGTCTCGCCCCTCCATCCCAGGAAAGAGTCTTCCCTGCTTCCCAGCTTACACGCACCCAAAGCCTCCCCACTGTGGCCATTCTCCACACTCTTCCTAAGAGAGAACCCCAGACTCTGCAGTGGCTCCCCAGTGCCTTCAGGGTCAAGTCCAGACTGTTCCGCCAGCCCTGTGATGAGGCTGGCTGGCTGGCTCTAGGACACAGCATCCAACTGGGCCATTCCTAAAACTATAGAGGGAGCACTGCTCAAGTTAGCACGGGAACAAGAGGTGTCAACTGCCGCCCAAGCTTTGCTCACGAGGCCCTTGTTACACACCTGCTTCTCCACTGTCCCGCTGCAGCTCCCCGCCCTGGAGCTCCCAAACCCACCGGGGTCCTCTCTCACCACCATCTGTGCTCCAAATCCAGGGGTGGATTCCTCTCTTCTGTCTCTCTGAACCTGTGCCCTGTGCGAGATGACCTCATGGAGCTGTGACCGTCATGGCCTTAACCTTACCCGTCTCCCAGCCTGCCCCTTTCCTGTGGGCCAGAGCCCATTGCAGTGACTTCTGAGTTCAGGGTGTAAGCAGCCCTCACAGACAAGAAGGTAGCTTTATAAATACGGCTCTCTTTAGCTGTCCACCGTGAATACTTAGCTCTCATCTGTTTATCACACTGTCCTCAAACAGCTGTTTGCAAACTCAGTCATCTGTCCCGCATCCATTTTTACACATCTGTAAGTCAGGTACTGTGTCTGGAGACATTATTGTGATCAAAGTTTGACCCCTTCCCTGGAAGAGCCTACGCTTGAGCACAGCAGTAGATGGTGCCATGTGTCAGGTGGCAGTGGGTGCTTTGGGAAAGGGGTTGCGTGAGGTGGAGTGGTAAGAAGCACTTAACCCAGATGATATGTATGTGAGCAGACTGGAGCCATAGGAAGAGCTGGTGGAAGAACCTGCCAAGCCCATAGGGCGGCAGGTGCAAAGGTCCAGAGGTGGGCTGTGCCATGAGAGGAGCAGCAGCTGGAACCAGCTCAGGGTGGGAGGAAGGGCCCAGGCAGCCTGGCCAGAACTTGTGGGTTTTTATCTTGCACACAAAGGAGAGGCATCCAGGGGCAGGAAAGTGGCACCATGAGACTTGCATATTGAACGGCCTTCTCCAGCACTCCAGAGGGCATGAACTTGGTGGGGCTATGGCAACTATGGGCTCTATGGCAACTGGCCAGCCTGTTGGGAGAGTATGAAGGGAGATGGGTGAGACGTGATGGGAGCACCCACTATGATGGCAGAGTTGGGGAGCGAGTAGTGAAGGGCTTAGGATTCATGTTCAAGTCAGAGCTGGTAAGATCTGTGGGCCCCCTCCCTGCTGATACAGGAGAAAAAAAATTGAAGCATTTGTCCCGCCCACCTTCTTCCATACTGTACCCTACCCACTCTAATCGGAGACCCACATGGGCATGCATCCCTCTCAACTATGTAAGCAATGCTAAAAATAAATTTTTTTTAAAAAAAAAGGAAAAATCTGTAACCCATCTGGTGTGTGGCAATGAGGAGGTTAAGTGCTGGGCCCCCCTGGGAAAACAGAGCAGGGGTCGGTCAGAGCAGACAGGGAGGTGGCTGCTGGGATATGTCGGGTTTCAGAATGGAGTTGGTCAGCATATCCCAGGACCCCGCCTGACCCCCACCCAAAGGAGATCTGAATGGCCTTGACATGTACTTAGAAATGCTTTCCGATGCATTTTGATTTCCTTGTCATCACTGTGACCACTTGCAGCGTCATGAGCCGGAAGTTAATGCATTTCTCTGCTCAGTAGTTCTTCTGAGGTATGTGATCCAGTTTAGTCATTAGCTCTGAAGGCTATGACAGATAATTTGCTGATTGTTCTCAAAATTTGAAGATCAGAGTCATTGCTGTGGCACAGCAACTCCAGCATCCCAGATGGGTGCCTGTTCCAGTCCCAGCTGCTCTGCTTCCGATCCAGCTCCCTGCTGATATGCCAAGGAAGGCACCTGGGACGAGCCCTGCTGCAATGAGACAGCCGAGGTGTCCTAGAGCATGCTGGGATTATCATTCGGGCCCAGGTCTCTGTTCTCAGCCCCCAGAACTGAGTGGCACAGTAAATAAGGCCTTTAATCTGAAAGGAGAGGCTCAACTTGATGAAGGTGCATGCTATGAAAGGCTGCTCGTTATCACATTACCTGATGTACCAACTAATGAACCAAGCTCATCCAATAAGTGAGTGCCCGCACTTCTGGGGAACACAGCCCACCTTCTGACTCTGGACAGCCCTGTCTGGGGCAGGTGGGGGGTGTGGGCTTGCCACACCCTAGGTTTTAGCTATCTCTAGTCAAGTTACTTTAGGAATTCCTTGCCTGGGAACATGAATTCCTCCTCCTAACACACCTCTGTTGTGTCCTGCGCTGTGCCAGGCACTGCCCCAGTCCATGAAAGCCCAGCAGTGAACAAGAGGGACTTGTGCTTATATTCACAGGGGTCACTGGGCCAGCTGTTTGCAGAGCGCTTTCAGCCCTGCCACAGCCACCGAGGTTTCCTCCCCAGACAGTAGCTAAACTTACTAGGCTACCTCTTCAGACCACGCTTGGCCTCTGGCTCCCAGCAGAGGACGCACCAGGGTCCTCTAGGTGCTCTCACAGCAACTCCAGCAAGTGCCTGCACAGGGACAAGGGGGAGCAATCCCCATGTGCAGAAAGGGGTCCCCCTTGGAATAGGAGAACCACACCCCTAAGCTGATGTCTTTGCTACTGGATGCTCCAGCTCAGCTTCCTGGGTCGCTCAAGCACTTGTGCCGTTGTAAGGACCCCTGCTGGGAGGAAACCCTGAGCCCTGACTCAACCAGTGGATGAAGGCCACTCCTGCAAGTCCAAACACTTTGTGGGAGCGGCAGGGCCAGCCTTCCACCTTCAAGCTTGTAGAAATGAACTCACGGTCAAGGTCGTCCTTAGGATAGGAAGAAGAGCTCTGATGCCCTGCACACCATGGCCCAGTTCTGGGTGCTATGGAAACATCCCACAGGAAGAGGGTGTTGCTGTGATGCATCCATTCCCAGACCCCAAGTGGATTCCAAGTAAATATAGGCTGTTGACAACCTCCTCTTTGTCTTGCAGGTCACTGGGCATGGCACACCTCAGCTACTGGCTGCTGGTCCTCTTTGTGGCCGCATGGAGTGACGTGGGCCTCTGCAAGAAGCGGCCAAAACCCGGAGGAGGATGGAACACCGGGGGGAGCCGATACCCGGGTCAGGGCAGCCCGGGAGGCAACCGCTACCCACCCCAGAGTGGCGGATGGGGTCAGCCTCATGGCGGTGGCTGGGGTCAGCCCCACGGTGGTGGCTGGGGTCAGCCTCATGGTGGTGGCTGGGGTCAGCCCCATGGTGGCGGCTGGGGTCAAGGAGGTACCCACAATCAGTGGGGTAAGCCCAGTAAGCCAAAAACCAACATGAAACATGTGGCAGGTGCCGCGGCGGCTGGGGCGGTGGTCGGGGGTCTGGGCGGCTACATGCTGGGGAGCGCCATGAGCAGACCCATCATACACTTCGGCAACGAGTATGAGGACCGTTACTATCGGGATAACATGTACCGTTACCCCAACCAAGTGTATTACAAGCCCGTGGACCAGTACAGCAACCAGAACAACTTTGTGCACGACTGCGTCAACATCACAATCAAGCAGCACACGGTGACCACCACCACCAAAGGAGAGAACTTCACCGAGACCGACATCAAGATGATGGAGCGTGTGGTGGAGCAGATGTGCGTCACCCAGTACCAGCAGGAGTACCAGGCCTCCTACCAGAGGGCGGCCAGTGTGGTGGTCTTCTCCTCACCGCCCGTGATCCTGCTCATCTCCTTCCTCATTTTCCTGATAGTGGGATGAGCAAGGGCTTTTCCTTGCTTCTGCTGCTGTCTGCATCTTCGTCCGTGTGGGGGGTGGGGAGGGGTGTCCACCTGCAGCCCCATGAGTGGTGGAGTCTCATTCTTGCTTCTCTCTCTCTCTCTCTCTCTCTTTCTATTTTTCCCACCCCCTCTCACCCATGGACTGAGAACCCTGGGCACTGGCAGACACTGGGAGACGTTGCATTGACCTGGATGCAGCTTACTCAAGGGCTCTCCTCCCCTCCGACTGAGTCCCTCACAGATGACCAGTGCTACTGCTGGGCCAGCCAGAGTTGAAGTCAGACCACACGTTATTGTTAGGGAACCTAGGCTCACTTCTGGCCCAGCACAGCAGGTCAAGGGCAAACAGCTCTCAAAAGCCATCCTTGACAACCCCTGTCTGGCTCAGCATTTCCCTGGGTCCCTCCGCAGCCCCAGCTCAGGGCACGGCTGCCACTCCACCAAAAAAAAAGTTTCCACCAATTTTTTTTTTTAATGAAATCGGAGATCACTTCTGCCATGTTTGGAAAGAGGCTACATGATACTCAAATTAGCTCCTCGGAAGCACATGCTATGTGCCTACAGAGAGCTGGCCGGTGTACTGCCTCCTGTGGCCTGGCAGCCAGGGCACAGGGCATCAGCACTGGTGCAAGGCCCCACCTCTGGCCAAAGCACCCACCCATAGGGAGTGAGCACCCCTGTGTCCCACATGACAGGCTTCAACCTGGAAATCGTGCCCCGGGAGCCAGCCTCCCATCCATTAGTAACAAGCTGTAGATATAATGAAGGTAGGGGAGAAAAGACACAAAAGTCTTTGTCGATTTAACTGGAAAGCAGAGCGGTTTAAACAGATGGTGGAAGCCGAAGAGGGCAGTGGCAGCTGGCGGAAGCCCTGTTGGTATGGAGAGCTGTGTCGTGAATACAGCGATGAATGTGCAGGAGAGGAGGTGCCTGTGTCAGCTGCCATCTCGTTCCTGCCCACATCCAGATAGTTGGTCAAGCGCTCCGTCTCTGAAATTGGCTTTCAAATCAGGGAATAGGGAGACAATCTTAAAAAAAAAAAATCTGAGAAGAAAGTCGAGCTGATGGAGCTGATCCACACCAAGTGGAAAAAGAAATTCTAGAATTATTACTTAAGCCAGGAAACATTGTTCCTTGAATTATTGGATGTCAGCACCTAACAGATGTGTTTTACCATTCTACCACGCTACTGGCCTGCACCGGGTAGCTAGTGTGTAAGAAACAAACCAAGTAGACTGTACATGACAAACTTAGAGATTCCACTTAGAGCCACTCACACCTGGCCTAACGCGTTAACTTGTGTAAGGTGTTAAACAATGTGCGAGAAAGCCTTCGCATGGACCCCCTACCCACCCAGCTTTCAACGTGCACTGAATAGTTTTGTATAAGATTCCAAAGTGGAGACGCCATGAACTGGTCTTTGAAATACGCATGTACTTTATATTTTCAATATTTGTGACTCTGCATGTACTTGTTTTGCATATAAAAAATTTCTAAGTGTTTACTAGCTGACCAAAATTAAACAGGAGCTAAGGTAAGCAACAGCCTCTGAAGTCTTCAGTCGCGGTCACCAGTATCCATGCCACGCGGCAGCATCCTGTGAAGGCTGCTGTGTCACACACCTGCTCCCAATCCCGCCCTCGCCCTCACTTTCCAGGTCCAGGCCGGGTTGCCTCCGTGGCGGAGGTTCCACTGCGGGAGGAACCCAGGCCTTGGACTTTGACAGGTTTGTTCCTGCCTTTTAAGATCTATTTATATGAGAAAGGGAGAGATTTCGTCCTCTTGTTCACTCCCCAAGTGGTCATCAAGGTCCCCGACGTGTGTCGAGAGGCTCCAACACTTGAGCCATCTTCACTGCTTTCCCAGGCGCATTAGTAGGAAGCCGGGTCAGAAGTGGGGCAGCCAGGACTCACCGTCTGAGACACCAGCCCCCTGCCCTGAGTTACGAAAGGTTTTCTTGACTGAGGTGAAATCAGCCAAGCTCTAACTTACCCACCTAAGATACCACCTAAGGCACTCCTAAGTCAGACTGAAATACTCTGGCCCTGTGGTCCTTTGTCATAGTCACTTTCAGGGCACATCCCCTTTGGGCCTCCCCTGCCTTCCTAAGTACTCTTAGTTATTCTTGTAGAATTTTCCTGTGAAGCTGATGTAATGGCCAGATATAATCGCAGGAAGTGACAGCAGTTGCAGTCAGCTTAATCGGCAACCATTGATGTCAATGAGGTCTGTAAGGATCATTCATCATTCCGACATGGCTTAGGTAAGCACATACAGAGAAACGCGTTGATGGTAGAGAATGTTGTGTTCACAGGTGCCAGAACCAGAGATGAGGCATGCTACCCCGGGGGCAGAGAGAACCCACAAACTGGGTCCACCTTTACTGGTTGTCAGCAGACAGAAAGGCATGCACACATTTTATTGGGGTGTTAGTCGAAACCCAAGAACAGGAAGTTGCACCTGTGGCTGCACCAACCAGCCTGGCCATAGGGTGTGGGCAGGGTGTTGGTGGGGATGGTGAGGTGTCAGGAAAATAGGAAGTTTTAAGTTTTCATGAAAGCCTGACTTTTGGCCTCCTGGTTAAGCCCCCCTTTGGGACAGGGCAATCAGCTTCCAGTCCCACTCCCAAATCCAGCGTCCTCTCAGGCCCGCCCGGGTTAGCAGGTGATGGCTCAGGCAGCTGGATCCTTGCCTCTGGACTGAAGTCTCAGCTCCCAGCTTTGGCATGGCCCGGTGTGGGTATAAGATACTGTGGAAAAGTAAAGCAGCAAATAGGGAAGCTCTCTCTCAAATAAATCAAAATTTAAGAACAACATCAATTTACAGTACAGCCAAAACTAGTGTTGCTGCATGGCGGGTTGACTTGATACTAAGATGGTAACATCCAAGTCAGTACCTGGAGGCCCCGTTATTCGCAAGAGGGGTGGCTTCACTACCTCGTTAATTTTGTTTTTCACAAACTTCTTGAAGTTTCTTTGTATAAATTTTCAGAAATAGTACTCATTTATAATCAGACCTCAAAATTAATCCTTAACAAAAATTTCTAGAATTATTTTCAACCTCCCTTTTTTGGTCATTTTCCTAGTTAATGACTGAGCCTGGCAGAGCGGGTTAAGCCATCGCTGCAAAAATGACATCCCAAATGGACACAAGTTTAGGTCCCTGCTGCTCCACCTCTGATCCAGCTCCCTGCTTATGCTCCTAAGAAAGCAACAGAAGATGACCCAAATGCTTGGGTCCCTGCACCCGTATGGGAGACCCACATGAGGCTCCTGGGTGCAACCTGTCCCTGCCCTGGCTGTGGTGGCCACTGGGAGGGTGAACCAGCAGATAAAGACCTCTGCCTCATTATAACTGCCTTGCAAGTAAATAAAGTTTTTTTAAAATTACCTATCTGACAGTCATAATTTCAGTCCACTAGGAAGACTCAAGTCATTCAAAACAAGAAGTTGTAGAACCAAAGCGAATGCAATATGGTTACATCTTAGGCTCCTGATTCCTGTAAGTTGTACAAAAAGATTTTTTCTTTTTTAAATAAAATAAAGCTTTAATGAGCCATGTAAACAAAGCCCAAGAATGCTCTCCCACTGAGCCTCCTGTTCTGCCTTCAGTTTCCTTAGGATCCTTCTGGGGTGGAGACCCAAGTCCCGGCACCTTTGCAAGGAGTCTGGACTGCCTCCCATTCTGGTTTGAACCTTGATCCCACAGCCACAACCTGAGCCCCTCCCAGTTTGGGCCTGATCTGGCCCCCATGATTCTGTGATTCGTTTCCAGGCAACAAATGTGACTTCCTCTCTGGCTAGCCAGATCCACCTCCACTCCCATCCCCACCAACAAGCCTGGCCCTGCACTTGAGCTGGGATTTCCATCCTGTGAGTCCTCCGTTGGACTGCTCCAATCAAAATGTGCACGTGGATCTGCAGGTCCCAACAAGCTTGGGATGATGACTCCATGCTTGAGCTGTGAACTACTCTAACGGGATGCAGGAGCCTGCTCCTCTGTAGCTGCAGCTCATTAAACACGACAGTCTTCCCCCTTCTCCCTGCCCCCATGCCCCACCCCTGCCAAGACTCCCTTGAGAACTGGGATAGGACTGAAACCTTATAACCAATTCCCAAGTGATGCCGATGCTGCTGGGGTTGTTATGTGAGATAGTCTAGGGCTCTACAGAGGGTTGCAAAAGAAGGCAGCCCCAAACCTGAATTACTCCCAGAACTGTTAGACAAACCCAACAGCTGCCTGAAAAGCAACAGCCTGGCACTCTCGCTGGATGGTGACAGCTGGGAGGTCTCTAGGGCGAAGGACAACAGGGGAGCAAGAAGCCTGCTGTGAAAAAATCCCTCAGCTGTGCAGAGGAATCTCAGCGCCCCACCCTCCCCACCGCCACCTCTGCCCCATGTAAGTTCAGAGAGGATAAACCTGAGGCGGACACTGTGTGATCTACAGGTCCCTAGGCTGGGAGAAGTGATGCTGCTGATTCAGGACCAGATCCTGAGAAACAAGAACCTGGAGGCCGGAATCGTGGTGGAGGAACTCACAGAACCCCGGGTGGGAATCTGGAGAGGCTCTGGATGTGAGAGCTGGCAGGGGAGCTGTCACCTCCCACCTTTCAAACCCAGGAACTGCCTTCTCTGCACAGCTCCCCTGCTGGGCGGAGTCAGCAGATGGACGCCCTGGAGGCAGCACGGTGTCAGGCAGAGGGACGGACACTTGCCCCTCCTTGAGAAATAAACAGGTCCTGGGGGACTTCGTCTGAGGATACCTCAAACCGCCCTGTTGCCACATCCTCACCTCTGGGATCCCCCACCTCCTGTTGTGCTTGAGCCTCCAGCAGACTCGCTGGTCCTTGGAGATTGCTCTTCTACTTCTGGCCTTGCGAATGGGGCTTGAATTGCATCACGATTCTCCCAGGCCTCCCACATGCACAGTGGATCGTGGGACTCCCCAGTCCCCATAACTGTGGGATCACCTCCAGGTGACAAGTGCCTTCCTGTCTGTGTAGGCTGAGTGACCTTGTCTGAAACGCTTGGTGTCAGAAATGCTTCGGATCTGGGATTCTTCCGGACTTTGCTCGCGTCCACATAATGAGATCTCTGGGGGACGGAACCCAATTCTATGCACAAAATCATTTGTGTTCCCTGGACATCTTAAGCATACAGCCAAAATACATTTTCATGCAATATTTTTAGTGGATTTTCATGTTAGAGTGCTGAACGCAGCAGATCCTGTTCTGCTGGAGAGCCTTACCAACACAGGGTGGCCAAACACTGCTCTCATGAAAGAGCCAGAACTGTTCTTTCCATTTATTTATTTTTAAAGATCTTATTTGTTTTTTATTGGAAAGTCAGATTTACAGAGAGACAGAAAGAAACATCTTCCATACGCTGGTTCACTCTCCAAGTGACCACAATGGCCGGAGCTAAGCTAATCCAAAGCCAGGAGCCAGGAGCTAGGAACTTCTTCTGGGTCTCCCACATGGGTGCAGGGTCCCAAGGCTTTGAGCTGTCCTGGACTGCTTTCCCAGGCCACAAGTAGGGAGCTGGATGGGAAGTGGAGCTGCCGGAGCATGAACTAGCGCCCATAAGGGATCCTGCACATGCAGGACAAGGACTTTAGCCACTAGGATATCATGCCAGGCCCAGGACTGTTCTTTTTAATTCCTCCTGGAACACACCGGGCACGATGCTCAGCATGATTTCAGGTGTTGCTACCCCTTTGCTAAGTGTACCATGTGCCTAACCCTTGGCATACATGGCCTTATCTAACTGTCCCAGTGATCTTTGAGTTAAGAAGATGGCTCCATCATTTGCTTCAAGAAGATATTTTTGCCAAACTCCAGCTCCAGCTGAGTTCGGAGCTCGAGAAGAGTGCGTGGAGTAGGCGTAGAAAGAAAAGAGTGGACCACTACAATTTCAGGATCATACTGGACAAATGCAAGAAAGCTGTCCACTTTATACAGAAGCAGTCACAAGACAAGTGGATGTATCAAAGAATAATTCTGCTGCTTGTTTCACCTTAAAGCTCTCAATAGATGGTGCATATCAATCAGTAACACATTCCTAATACAATCCTCATTCTACAGCTTAATCTTGAATCAGTTAAGGGAGGAAATGCATCACAGAAGGAGGGAGCTAAAGATCAAGGATGGTCAATGGGGGCAACAGAGACAGACACAGCATGAATTGTAAAATGCCCTTTTGTAAAATGTTATCAGCAATATCAATTTCCAAGCTCACATTGAGAATAAAAACCTGAATAGATTACAGAATTCTCAGTGGGGTGGTCCGGTGTCCATGCAAAGGGAGGTAGAACCGCCTTCAGGTGGATGCAGAGACACCCACCAGGCCCTGCCGTGCAGCCCTGCCATGCAACCCTGCTATGCAGCAGGAAATTCCTTCTGGCCTTGCCTGCAATGGAACAGTTCTCCACACACCTTCGTCCTCCACACCCACTGCAGGGACCTCAGCAGTTTTTTATTGTCTTTTTCATTTCTTCAACAACACGTTGGTCATTTAGTGGCATGTTATTTAACTTCATG